GTGAAATATGTAAGCCTGGTCTGATAATAAATTGATGACAACTTATTAATTAATTAAATTAGAAGATACTGCCATCAATTCAAGAAATGCATATGCACAACATTTACAGATAATCATATTTCACATAAAATGTCTGATTATATATTTATTTTCTTTTATTTATACTGTTACACCTTTTTCTCACTGAAGGCATTCCACATTGTAAATTGTATTACAATACATAAACATACACTTGTTTCTCCATCATAATGCAGCCACTTTGCATGGTATTACCAACCGCAATACATAAATTCCTACACATACAATTATTACAGTCTTGGCCCCATACTACTGAATATAAGCATAAAAAATATGTCTTCAATTCATTTTTTGAAATGTATGTCGCGGTCAATAACTCATAACCTGAAACACTGTAGAAACAAATATAAATCTTGTCCACGGCTGTACCAATCAGTTATATTTTCTAAGATGGCTTACAGAAACTTACCAATTTGCAATGTATACTAAGATTCAAACTTTTTCTATCCTAGAACCTGTGGTTTCTTGTATTTGCCTAGTAGAACATGTGAAATGCCTTCAAATTGTTTGTATATAACCTTCGTATGCAGCTTTCAATTTCAAAAATATTAAAATCAGTTACAATTTATTGTAACCCATTACATAGAAATACATTGCAAATTGAATTTGTGGAAGGAAATGTAAAGTAGATCTTATAAAATACATCATTATTATCATCATCATTAACTCAAAATACAGCTTTTTCTAATAATATGATTCCATTTTTAATGTCAAAAAGCATTTTATCTTTGATATTTTAATCTATTATAACTATAATTTTAATATGATTTAATATTGAGCATAAATTTTTTTAAACAATTACTGTGTATACTATTAAAATTAAAATGATTAAGATATAATTGAGGGTAATTAATATGTTTATGATCATAATTATGATTAGGATGTGTTAAATTTAAGTCTAAAATTAGAATATATTTATCAAACTAAATGTGACAATCTTGGTTTATATACAAATAATTATAAAATTAAAATATGCCACAATATTCGTGACAGTTGCGATTGATCCAAACTCAATCCTGTGCCACAAAATCTGCTTAACGTTATTCATGCATCTATGATGACAAGACTGATGCTAATTTGCAGGGGTATTGAAGAAATTCTCTTGAAAAGGTCACCGATTCCAGAGGGACTCCGTAGAACAAGGCCTGAATTCTAATGTTTGTTTATGGACATAAGTATTCATGATCTTTGATATCAGATATATAATTAGTTTAGTTGACAAATAATAATAAATATATTTCAAAATTTATTATATATTGTATATATTTATATAATATAGATTAATTATGTGATTAAATTAATATCCTAATTAGAAAATATCATAGCTTTCCTATTATTACAATTACTATAGTATTATTTCTTTATAACATTTATCATCTGACAGGATTTATACCCAGGACCTTGAGATTGGAAGGCATGTATCTTAACTACCAAGCTGCAGCTCAACTCTAATTTGAAATTAATTAAACTAAACTAAAACCAAATATTTGATAATAATTTTTTTGGTACATTTGCATTTGTTTTGGTTTTTCTTCTCAGTTGTTGTTAAGCGCCTCGAGGTTGTGTCAACGTGAAGTGCTATATAAATCCAGAATTATTATTATTATTATTAACTCTATCAAAATTGCATTGCTACATATTACCTATATTTGGCTCTTAGGGGGAAACTCTTTTGTCTATGATTTCGCCTTAACGTCGCTTTAGTTTCCCTTTAGCAATACTACTTTCGCGTTAAGGTACTGTTTTCAACCCTCTTCATTGTTTTAGTTTCCCCCTATGGGTACTTCTAAGCGTGTATATATATATATATATATATGTATATATATATATATATATATATACTACTCCTAACTAACTCCTTTGTCTAAATTTCGCCTTAAAATCGTTAAAATTTCCCCTTAGCGGCAGTATTTTCGCCTTAAGGTATCATTTCTAACCCTCTCCACTGTTAAGGTTTCCCCCTATGGTAGTATATAGTCGTGTATATATATATATGTGTGTATATATATATTCAATTAAAATCAGTGTTGTAAGAGATATATTTTCACTTAATACACTCTTAGTTATTAAAGCTGGTAATTCAGCACAAGGCATCACTTTCAAACATGCAAGTACCAACTCCTAGGTGAGGAGAGTCAACCTCTCAATATATTAATCTTAATGTCAATATTGTAATTCCTACATTATTTCCCTTTCCCAACTATGCACTAATTTTTCAATGGTGCATGGTTTGCTAGACCTTTTTTGCAATTTGTATGCAAAAGGTCAAACAAGACTGCATGTATAGCACTTTGAGGAATATTTTGCTACACCTCATGTGCATCAGTAGTGAGACAGGGCAGACCCTCGTCAAATTTGTTGACATGTGGAGAACTGAAAACACAACATTCATAGAACAAGATAGACCAAAACAATCTAACCTTTGTATCTCCACCTAGCATATAATATGCTACTATACTAATTGTGCTTACTAATCTTACTGATACTGCCTTGCTACTAAAAAAAACAAAAAAAAACATAAATAAATGCAGATTTTTGACTTCGCTCAACTTATCAAATTAACTTATATTTTTAAATTAAATTATTAACATATTTACAAGTTAAAATATGCATGAATAAGTCAATTATGCAAACTCATCTTAATTATCTTGCATGCATATAGTTCCTTAACATAAATAACAGATAATTTTCTAAATATTTTGTAAAAATGAGTAAATAAGCAAATATACTGTTGCCAAAGCTGTGAAAAAATTAAAAAATGATTTTTTTGATAGCTGATATATTATAAATACAAAAAGTTAGTCTACATCTAATAACAGTGATATATATGCATATTTTAGAGAACATCTGTAGGTTAAATTTTGAGATTATAGGAAAAAGGTGGTTTATGCGCATGCATGTTACAATGGGTTGAGGAAGGGATGGATAAGCCATGAATATGAACCTTAAATAGAAGGTATAACAATGTAATATTCATTAATATTAATATAATTCAAGTAAAAAATTTTTTTAAACAAAATTAAGATGTACAAAAATATTTGTACTAATAGACTGAATAATTAATTTCAAAATAATCATTATGCAAGAAAACTCATTTTTTAAAATTTATCCAAGTTCAATTTTAAATTAAACAGATTATTTATTTTCAATATGTTTAACCTAATGAACATAAGTTTAAGTTTAATTAATTCTATTCATTAACATAAAAGTAAAATAATACAAAAATAATTTAATTATTAAAACTAATAATATAAATATAAATAAACATACAAAGCTTAAAAAAGCCATGCTATATGTCAATAACTGTTGTACAATTTCTTGTTTGTATATCCTAATAATAGGTGACATGAGTTTTATGATGAAAAGTAGCCAAAAGCATTTAAACAAGAGTTTATAATTTACGAAAACCCAAAATATGTTAAGAGTAGAAAAATTAATAGATAACATAACTATAATTTGGTTGTTATTATTTATTAAGAACATAATTATATATCTAATATGTCACTATATTTGTTATTTATAAATCTAATTTTTTAGCTGTAAAAATGATTAAAATAATATAATACTTTTTGACATTCTTGCAATACTAGATTATTACATCGTTATTACACTATGCAAATTTCAAACTGTTAACTTCCAGCAATAATATATTAGTTATTGTTAATAACATTTAAAAAAAAATTAATTTTTAATCAGTAATACCATTGCAGAATTGCTAGGCTTGTTATTTGCTACCATATTGCCCTTACTTACATGAGTATTAGCATGTGCGATGGCAGTTTGTGAAGCTTATGCAATGATATTCTAGAAATGCTATACTCTACAGTCTCATACCACCATACGTACAATCTTATACATAGGAAGCTGGCCCATAAAATTAGTAGCTGTAACAATCTAAAGGAGTGAAAAACCATGGCAACAAAGAAAATTAAAACATGACATTTTATCACAAACAGATCATGCAATGGAAATTTCACTGAAGGTCGTGCAAAAAAAATGAAAATATATTGTACGTTAGAGGTCAGACACAGAGTGCATATTGCACGGTAGAGGTCAGACACAGAGTGCATATTGCACGGTAGAGGTCAGACAGAGAGTGCAGCTTTCAAGCTTGAACAAAAAAACATGGAGACAAAAAGCATTTTATAAAAAAATAAATAAACAAAACAATGTAATGCAATTAAAAAACTTCAATATTGATTTCATGGTTTATTTTCAGAATTATTTAAAAATCTAGTAAAAAATTTTATTTTGTAGGTTTTTACATAAAACTTAATCCTATACTAAAAAAAACTCATTTTACTTATAGATATCTTGAAAGTTATTATGTGAATATATTATATACAGTATATTATTGTACACGCACAATATGTAACATACTGAAAGAAAAGAATGGCATATTAGATTTTTGTAGTACATTTACATGCATAAAAAGAAATAATTGACTTGTCTTGGAGTTCCTGATTACTTGCTTTATACAAAATGTGTTAAATAACAAATTTTATAAATAGAATTGTAAATACATGTTTCTTGAGTTTATACACAAATAATATATAACACGCCAACATAAACAAAAAGAAGAATAGATAACACAAAGAGGAGGATATACACAAAAGAGATTGGTAAGTATCTCCTTATAAAATGCACATTTCATAGCATATTCAATCATATATCAAAGCCTGTTCAAATCTTAAATGTGTCCAATTCTAAAAATTATATTCATAAGATAAACAGACTGTTGTTCAATTTTATTTCAACTGAATTACGAATTTACATTTCTAAAAATTTCTGATGAGTAAAAACTGAATATTAGTAATAAGATATTTTTGAAAAACAACACACATGTAGAATAATCAAGAGTTAAAAAACATAAAGGAGGATAAACACTTAAAAACAAGCAAAAATATACTTAATTAATTTACCTCACTATTGGATCTCATAGCAAAAAGATTGGCCATTATTGTAGAAAAGCCAGGAGCTAGGCAACTCTGTGCGATGAAGCCAAGTTTTAGCTCAGCAACACATATTACATCATCCCCTTGTTGCCAATTCCAGCTAGGGATGTTCAGAAGAAAGGCCTGGAAAAGTCGTCACATTAAAATGTTAACAAGCTGAACACTATATCTTTTATCTAGTAAACCATAATATCCAATGAAAATAGTAAAAAAATATCATTGTTATGGATATGTAAATAACAGACATTGTCAATCTGAAACGATGGCTACAACTTCTCCTTCTTTACTGTTTTTATGACAGTGCAAATGTTAGTTTTTCTTTATTCATTTTAATACAATATGATTAATAATCCATTTTACTTTGAAGACAACATTTAGCCCAACTTTATAGATATATTATAGACTTTACCATCTATCATATGGATAGAATTATCTGTTATATTGGGAGGATGTATATTAGGTTATTGTCAACTGATAAAATATGAGTTTGAACTCAACCAATCAAACCAAAGAATTATAAGCACCATATTTTATAAATGTTTTAGTTTGTAACATGGATATACTTTATGTTGATGTATGTTCATGTATGTGTGTTGTGCAGTTAAAGCTACATGGATGTAAATGTAATATTTTAATCTGCTCTGTTGACATGTTCATGTATACTGTGCCCTGAGAGTATTCGTTTAATTTATTCAATCTATACTCAAGAGTGTACCGTGGATATGTTTGCTTCTATTTTCATATATATTTATGTTTCCATTTATCAACCACATATTTAAAAAAAAATATTTTGTTATTATGTTACTGAACATTTATGAATATGGACACCCAAGTGTCATTTAATATATGAACAGAATAACAAATAAAATAATGATCTTAATAAATAATTATAGAAATACATACATATATAACACTTTTATTGCTGTATGATGATACTGCAAGTGTAAATTACATTAATTTTGCTGGCAGAATAATGTAATTGTAATATACATAAAGTTATTTTATAACCTTTCACATACAGATGTTACTTGTTACATGTATACTATATGTAGTTTAATGCATGCCTGTGTCTTGACTCTATGTACACTATGTGTAGCTTAATGTATGCCTGTTTATTTACCCTAGCCGGCCTTATAACTATGTGTAGCTTGTGTAGCTAAGTGATTGCTCATTTATTCACACACCTTGTTGTGGTACTGCATTAGTTGAACAATAACCCTGATCCTTGCACAGCAATTTTTAATTGAGATGACGCGCATAATGTTTGCCGCATCTTCTGCGTCCGAGTCCGTGCAGTACTTATCGCAGAGAATGATGCACGCATCAGCCTCAGCAAGCTATCAAAACACATGTAACAAATATTCTTTAAATGTATCTAGTAAATGTACAAAATATGCAAAAAAAATATTTAATATATAACTATTTTGTTGACAAATAATAAAAACAGTAATTTGATGTCTAGGCCAAGACAGAAACATTACATGTGTAATGTAATCATCATCATTTAATTTTATTCTCATTATTATTACCAAGTTTATTTGTCACACAAAAATGCAAACAAAATAAAGACAAGTTCACACAAAAAAGCTTCTCCTACGAGGATAAGGAGTGAATTAGACTACATGTGAGTTCCCATCTATTTCTGTCTTTAAAATGTATTTATTTATTTATACATTTCACAAGGGGCTTTATACATCAAAGCTGACACAAAAAAGAGGCCCTTGAAGATTAGATTAAGATCCCTGTCTTCATCGTAATACCAGTTTTACTTACAAGACACAACTGCATCAATCACAATGCAGTAGATGTATACATACACCATCATTTACCTTTATTCTTTCCAAGTCTATGCTGTTTAGCACGGACCCCTTAAAGAACTCTAGTTGTGTAAAGTAACGTTTGAACAATGCTTGAAGTTCAAGATCTGGCTCAACACTAAAAGATAAAATAATTTATAAATTATATAAATTTATAAACTAAAACAATATAGCATTTGCATTAACATATAATTATATTTGATGTCAAACTGCTAATTATGCATAAAATAATATAATAAAGACAAATAATGTTTGCATTTTTCATTATTCACATTTATCTCATGATTATGTATCTAAAAAATAGAAACTACTTGAGTGTGACACACAAATCATACTATAGTAGAAGAATTGACAAGACAAGATGACTTTATGATATGACATCCTTTTGGTGGCCGGAGACTTCCCACTGATCCTGAGTAGGAAAATTACTCTATTTAAAGTATCAGTGACCAGATAAATTCAATAATTGAGTTCTTCTCATTATAGCTCCCTCTATCATAAATGTATTGTAAAGTAGATGTAATGCAATTTTAAGAACCATCATTAATGTTAGTGATGTTTACTGAAATTAAGCAACTGTCAGTGTGTCACAGCAATTGTCAAAAAAACTTCTGTAATAGCCAATTGTAAAATACATATTACCTTCAACTACATATGACAATAACATACAAACGTCTCATAATAAAAATAAACAATGAGATTGACAATTTTAAAAATAAACTTCTGTAATAGCCAATTGTAAAATACATATTTTAATAACATACAAACGTCTCATAATAAAAATAAACAATGAGATTGACAATTTTAAAAATAAACTGTTATACATTTGCTGCTGGTATATGGGATTCTTTACTGGAAGTGACTAAAAGTTTATTTCAGATAGAAGACATCTAAATTTGAAAATGATCCACAATTATTAGTAACCTTGATCTACTTGTAAACCCCTGACAGAACTATAGTTTTGTAACTTTTACCATTGTTATATATATTGATTATATTTTATGTGTATTAAAATGTTTTATTAATTATTTTTGTTTTAATGAGGCCTGAACAAGCTACTTTAACTTATTAACTTTCTCAAAACCACTTTAATTATTAACAACAATAATATAATAATATTTTTATTACGTTAAGCAGAAATTGAGCATTTTAAAAATTGTTAATATAAAAACACCATTATGAAGTCTATACAAAGATCAGCTTTTAAAAATAATTTCCTGAGGGAGGTGTTCCAACCAAGCTTACAATCGAAGCTTTTCAAATATAAATCTATATATCTTTTAAACATAGCATAATAAATAAAATAAGCCATTACTCTCTACTATAAACTATCGTATGTTACACTCAGTTTGCCTTCTAATTTGACCACGTTTGGAACCTAGAAATGTGGGTGGTCTCAGAATGTGATCTGATTTGATCTAGTTTGAATGCAAAGTAATTTCTCTTCCTAGTACGTTACCATGATGGTTACACTTTTGAAGAATACATTTTATGTATCATAATTATTACATTACATTATTTACCAGATCTTGAGCGGGTCATGACACCTTGTCACAAAAATTGCAGTTTCTAACTGGCAGGCAGTATTCTATACCAACATATTAAAGCAGGCATCATTATTATTTTCTTTACTGCCTACCTTCAACAAGCAATTTCTCTCTAAATTCTGAACTAATTGATCATCTGGTGGTTCATAAATAATTCATGATGATTGGATACAGGGTGAAAATCCATGAGAGTTTCTTATAAAAATTTCTTTTTTGACCACACTCAGTATGTATTTATTTTCACCATTTCACTGTAATCAACAATAATTCTATTCCTATCTACACCTATCCTGATCTGTAACAATTTCTAGGCATATTTGTAAATAAATAATTTAAGATTTCCTGTAAAATGATTCTCAGATTTTGTAGAACTGTTTGGCAATAATTGTTTCTAATTAAGCTATACTAAAGAGGGAGTATATTTTATATTCAAAAACTTTTTCTAATTTGTGTCATATACATCATAAATATCCCTGGTTATTGCAATACAATCTAAAATTTGATAATATTATGCTTGTGTGAAGAAAACAAAAATCCATTTTGTTAGCAGGTGTGCAGGTTGGGCATATTATTCAGTTTCATTTCAAATAGAATTTAAAAACTCAACACAGCAATAAAATATTTGAAGTTACACTTAGCAGTAATGCAAACTATTATACATTTTGGACTGGTAAAAATGTCTTTACGACCATAATATGGATGCAAATTGTACATAAGAACTGCCCTGGATATTTCCCAGGGGTGTTATGTATTGCAAATGGTGGCCAATGTATGAGACGCACTATAAATGTACTTCCATTAATTGAAAAAAAGGAAAAAAAAACTTCATTTCCACAGATTTTTGCATATGATTATATTTACTTTTTGGTTGAAGCTACATCTTATATTGGTGGCACTCGTCAAAGCAGAGCATTCACGCAGCTAAAGTAATTCAATTTAATAATACATTTAAGAAATTAAACACAAACTACAGAATATGTGTACATGAGCATCTGATATCCATCTTCTCAAATGTAACTGTTGCTATAACATATAACAATATTCTACACTGTCTTCCTTCCAACTATGTATTTCTTTTCCCAAGTAACATATGTGCATAAATTAAATGCTGATGAACTTCGGTAAAAGCTCACCTTCATGTCTGATATAAGCCGAACACAAACATGGTAATTAGTCGGTTTATCCAGATATGTATTTATGAAATAGACATTTAAGCCTATCACATGCAAAAACCTCTATTTGGGTAGTTGATACTAACTTCAGTGAGGAATATGAAAAGAAAAAATCCAAGGACTCTTATGTACTCTTAAACGTACTACCCACATCCACCCACCAAATAACTTACATTGGCTTGAAAAATTATTGCCAAACTCTAGAAATAGCAGAACTTAGCTGCAAGACTGTTTGAAAGTGAGTGCTTATGTCACCAGTCTTGCGTGACTTCATTACATACAGTAGCTGCCTGTCAGTTAGTGAACCCAGTTCTAGATGATTCAAAGCATGGCAGGGAAACTGGCCACACTGTATTAATGATATTTTATCTACTTACACACCTCAACGCACTTTTAGATCAAGTTTATAATAACCATTACATCATCGTAAGTAGTGTATTCAGTTGCTGCTCCATTACTTTGGAATGCATTGTCACCTTCCATTCCCAATTTGACTTCCTCTAGCTGCTTCTTTAAGTTATAATCATCAGTTACTTATGATTTCTTATGAAATTAGCAGCTTGAGTGCAAAAGTTTCTTTTAACTGTGGTCATTCCTTGCCATCTAATACCCGATTCACACATGAAGTTAAATTTAACAACATTTAACAAATTCTAAATGAGCCATCTCCCGTGTTATTCCTACTGAGATATAAAGCATTCACACGCGTCTGTAAGGTAATGCCAAGGTTGTGTAAAATTTATTCAGTGTTTATTCAATGAATCATATTTGCCCCTACTGCGATATAGGCCTAACCTAGGTCTAGTTGAGAACCCCTGTCACAGATGGACTGTTGAACTCACCATCACAGTAAACATTTGAAGCAATCAATTTATTTATTTTATTTAAGCTTTCTTTAACCAGGTGGTATCCATTCAGTGACTAGCACTGCTTTTCAAGGAAGCCCTGGTTCTTACAGTGAATATATCCAATCAAAAAAAAAAAAGAAAAAATAATTTTTACAATCATGAAATTCAAAAGTAAATTAAAAACAAGATAGCCTAAAACTGAAAAGAAAGCAGACAAATGAAAACTACCAAACCAAAATAATTTGTATGTGGAACAACTTGAGTACTTGATATTTGATTCCTAGTAGGGTAGGAATGAACAGAGTGGGTGAAGGTGAATTTAGAAGACAGATATTCAGGAGCATTACCATTTAAACATTTAAACACTGTAAGTAAAATTTGGTTTGTCCATCGATCATTTAGTTTAAGCCAATGAAGAGTAATCATCATATCATCCACTGGAGTTCTAATATCGGCTGATAATAAAATTCTTGCAAATCGATTTTGCAGCTTTTGCATCTTTGACTTAAGAGTGCTATTACAGTTTGTCCAAATTTGACTACAATAATCGAAATGAGGCATTATTAGTGCCTCACCAAGCATTTTCAGAGCAGAATTTGGTAAGTAAGCTTTAACACGGCGAATAATACCGCAATGTTTTGAAGAAAGATACTCAATATGATGATTCCAATTCAAACGACTATCAAAAACAATACCAAGATATTTGAATTGATCAATCAATGCCCTTAATAACTGCTGTACTACTACTAGTACTAAACTAGGCCTACAGTAGCTTCCAACGTTTCTGTCGACTCTTGATAATACTAGTATTAATAGTACTAACACCATCCCGATGTTCATTTATGTATATCTTCTTCTTCTACCATTACTAATTAACATCAACAATTTGTAAAGGAATAAAGCTAATGTATGATTGCGGAATTCGAATATACTAAGCTACAAATCCACTACTTTTGAGTTTATTTCAAAGTGTTCATGGCTATCCCCATAGGACACTTAGTGACCCCTCTATAGCATATTGACCCTCCTTAGCTACATCCCTTGGCCACCACTTTTCCTAATTACCAGTGCGCTAATAGCATTTTGTCTCCTGCTAACACTCCATTTTACAAACTCTACAGCGTAATGTGTTGCGATAATGTGCCCGTCGCACATTCTGCTGGGTGCTTATACTTCTTTAGTCTACGTAATAAATGTGTAGAAATGGTTTTCCGCATCTTATATATTTAACATAAATTTTCCCAATTTACTTATAGCCATTCCAGATAATTTGGTTTGAGTTGCCATGGTAATAAATGGCTTACAAACACTTAGACCTTTGTAAATGTGATACAGCCATTAGGAAGGAATTCTGCTTTATAACAAATCACATGTGCTCAGCCATTCAACAGAATATTCTCTGATCATCATAATTTTTATGCTAGCATTATCAACCATTAATATCATTATATTAATACTTATTAATTTTATATTATTACTATCACCACCTATTTTTAAATACTACTATCACCATCATCATTGCTAACACAACAATAACAATTATAACTGTACACTACCATCAATTATATTTCTACTATATTTTCAGCCTCAAAATTGTCATTACAATACTTTCATCATTATTCATCATCATCCATACAAGTTTAAAGTACTAGTGCATAATATTTCAACCTTTCCAATGTGACCGTCATTAAAACCCATTCATCCAAATGTGCATTGCATATTTCCTGGTTTTTAAGTAAAATCAAATTAGTTCAATAGTTTTCAATGCCGTGGGAAAACTGACATTATGATCGTTATTAGAAAACTGCTATCTGTGTACAACTGAACACCTGATGTGTCATTTCTAGGGTCAAGAGTAGCAATATCATTAACTAGTCTACAGTCGCATTGATGGTGGAGTGAGGTGATGTAGACCCCCCAGTATACACCAACTGCTTAGGTTACAAGCATTTCATTGTTCAGTTCATTAATACATTATTTACCAAAAACCTAAAATATGGTTCTGGTCCTTCATATTTCTTTCCTTTTTCCAATATATAAGTTTGATATGAACTTTAACCTCTTTATATAGAATGAATAAAACCTCCTGTAGAATCAATGATAAACAAAATATATCACACAATGCTGTCTACACAACTAATGCATATTAATATTAGGATAGAATTTTTGTTTCTAATTATAGGTAAATGCGCATTATGGATTCCTAAATTCCAAAACACCTTACAATAGAGTAAACCTTTCAGTTACTGTCGAAGATTAAAGCAAAGTCGTTATAAGCGGCGAATATTCTGGTGAAATGTAGATATAGTGACAAACCTTTGTAACCTCCCTGTACCAATGGCGTATATCGGCACGCCTGTAGGTTATTGATTATCAAGGTGTGAAAACTCAAAACAGAATACTGTAGATGGACCTACTGAACATGTCAAACAAATTTCAACATATTTGTATTTACATATTTTTATGATTTTTAATGTAGATCTATAATGGCAAGTCCTCAATTTGATTTAATTTGTAATCATAATACAATTTGTTCACATGTATAGCACATAATAGCAGAATCTATATGTATTAGTGTTACCTTGATCATTTGATACAGAATCAATGATACACAATGTGCAACCTCCTCCACTGACTGGCCAGTATCTATTTAAGTCAAGCTTGTAATTTTACACAAATTAGTTTCATTACAAATCATTCACATGCTACCAGGTACCCTTTATATTCCTGAGTAGACACTAAATGTAGAATGTCTTTCCAACAGACACAGCAAAGGGACTATAATATAGACTTACAACCATTTGATAGGAAACATGAAGCTCTAACCTCTATTACAACATTCTTCTATTAGGCAATGTGATGATTAGTGTAGTGAGTGTGTATGGTTGGGAATGTGTAATACATTATAAACATATAATGATTCATACATCTGTACATCAAATTGTTCATGCTGTCAAGAGACAATTTCTTTAAAAAAAAATTATGCAGTTGTGTAAAATGATGCATTTACAGATGTTAGGCAATAGAATGATGTATATAACACTTGGAACTTACTAATCAAGATGTATATTGGCAGAGAACGTAATGAATAAAATAAACAGAAATAATTCCTGACTGAAAAACATCAATTCAGTGAAAATGTTCTTAAAGTAAAAGTTGATAATTAATGTCTAAGGGATTCACTGAACCAGAACAATAAAGGATTAAATAAGAGGCTTATTGTATTAAATGAAGAACTGTAAATATTAAAATTAATTGTAATGGAGTGAGCAATGGTAGAAGAAAAAAGAAGGTTAAAGTACACAATGGAAAAAAAAATAAATCTGATCTATAAAGTATATTTTGAGGCTCCAGATAGGTAAGTTTTTAAGTTGTCAAATGCATCCTGGGAATTCCAGCAATATGAACCTTCAATTTTGGGATTAGAAGTCGGGAATATTGTCAGCAAGAAGCTCGAAATGAGCATCCGTATCACATTACTAATTGACCATAAAGCAATGTCTAGATTTCAAAGATGGCCATCAGGTATGCTCCAACAATTTGATGTGCTTAATGAGGTAATCAAATTATTAATTGGCTGAAAGCACTGACAACTGCAAAGTACCGCAAAATGCTTACAGTCTGATGGTTGAATTCATTTGTTGACCACACACCTGTATGTAACATGACAGGTGGGATTAGCAATGCTCACACTTAAATATCAAGAAAATAAGTTTAAATGGGAATCAGACAAAATTCAAATTAGCAGTGATTTCAATCTGTTATAACCATTTTGTGTATGCCTAATTAGTGTAGTATTATTGGAGATACTGATAACTCTTAAATCTGGTAACTAAAATAATCTATTCAAGGTATTTTGTAGTCCCAGGTATGCATGTCAATGTCAAAGGTCAAGTCAGAACAAACAAATCATATGTTATTATATATCTTTTATTTGTAGATTTTATTTGGGGTTAATATAAGAATGTTAAAATAAATGCAAACAATACTTAGTAAAAGGCAGATGATTGGTTATCAAATGAACTGACCTTTGACATTGTCACATGCAGCTTTGTGAAGACTGCGGATATTTTAACTAAATATATTTTAGTTTTACTACCAATATTTTGTAGAGATCATTCATCAATAATGTTTTATTATGTGACACATCATTAGTAACCAGGTCAAATAGCCTGAGCGACTATGTATTTTGTCTGAAGTACATAATGGCGACCATATGTTGCCCAACTAATCTATAGAAACATGAACAAATATCTTCTGAAATATCAAAAGAGATAGGTAGTGCATATAATACACATAATGACCTACTTAGCTGGATAAAAACAAGGATATTTTCTGCCAATGTACTGAATTAATTTAACTTGCAATTTTTTTTTCTCCATGTTTTTTGAACATAATCATGTATTTACGATGCTTTTTGGAAGAGAAAATGAACTGCTTACTAGCACATCGAAAATACTCTTAGTATGTGTGTTCATGCGTGGAAAAGTGTTATGAGGCAGAACCAACCCATAAGTATTGTGCTATATGTGCATATTTTATGACTTGGTGTGAAACACTGTCAATATTGCTGTTTGCAATGATACATAGAAATTTTCTATATCATGAATGGTTGTATTGCAATGATAGATCAACATAATTTAGTATAGGCCATAGGCACTAAGCCTACTGTGCAATATATTTCTAGGCCTGGCTAGTGGACATGTTGATACAATCACAAAAATGAGCATGCATCTATGACTGAATGCTGCATGAGCTCAAGCTTTTTTTGTTGTTAAGTTCTAGCAGCGCCTTTTTTCATAGTAATACATTTAACACTTATATAAATTCGGTTTTACACATACATGATTTTTGCTACAGTATATGCTAGATTTTTTATAGTAGAAAATCCTGTCTTCGTAGCAGTCTTCTAGCTTCTGAATGTGTGAAAGAGCATAAATGTGGTTTTTTTTTTCATCCATGGTGATACTAACAAGAAGTTCTTTTATGTCATAACGTATGGTGAATACTGAACCCTTCACTGATATATATATTACTATTTTTTTTAAATGCAATGTCCTCATTAGGAATTCAAGCCATGACACCAATCAGGCTCCCTTCAACAATATTTGATAATTGTTTATAGCTGTTACATGGTTTTCATTTATGGCAGTTTTTTTTATGAATCCATTAAATGATATATAATGCTACCCTTATGATGATGGCCAATCCAAGCCAATTAACTATGTATGTACACATTTTAAAGTAAATATGATCTGTTTAATGCTGAGGACAACAAGATGATTTTAAAATATCCACTTACGTATGGAAAATCACAATTTCTACGTTTACGTCTTCTCGATCTTTATGAAGAAAATCTTTCAAGAAATTGGAGACGCTGTCGTAAGTGATGTGTCCACATACAACGATATGCCTGAAAGAACAAAAATGACACAACTTACAAAAGATATATGATACAGGAAGCTTACAATAATTTATATAATTTGAACAAGTCACAACAGATTACAAAATACAATGTGAATGAGATATTACTTTTAAATCGATTACATTTGGACACTTCTGTCGTTATCAACATAATTTATATGAGTACACCAGAGACTGGATATAACGTACTGATGCCTTGAATGGCATGTCCAATCCATCAGAGCTGAGACTACATGCAAAATGTACCAATGCCTTGAATGGCATCATCGGAGCTGAGACTGGATGTATAACATACAGATGCCTTTAATGCCGTTTCAAATGGTCTCTTCTACCTTTTGTTCAGCAATTTTTTTCATTTGCTGATATTTCCATCCACCCTCTCACTTAACTTGACCAATATATGGGTTTGCCAGTCGTAGTGGCCAGTGGCATGACCGATGCAGTTTAATAACACACCTTGGACTCAATGACATTTGAGAAATTAGATGAAATAAGTATATTATTTTTTAAAAGGTAATGCTAAAATATGCTGAGAATACATATAGACATATTTTTTTTTTCTCACACAAACACAACCTTACACATATTCACAATTACTGTATCTATAGATTGACTTCAAATCACCTTATTTCAAAAGCTTGAATAATTTACTTTTTTAAAATACAATGCAGACATATGGTTCTTTCACACAAACTTAGATATTTTTGGTTTGTAGCTTTTCAATTTTTCCTCTTAGTTTGTATTTTTGTATGTAGTTCTTATTTAGTTGTAAATTTATAGTTAAGTTTGATGTGTAAAAGATGGAAGAACACCTTTTTGGTGAACTAAGCTTCCCATTTACAGCTTTACTTTCCCATTTACAATTTTCTTTTTTCAACAATTGCATCTACTGGAACGCTCTTCTGGTTTCTTTGAAGGAAAATGACAATATACACACCTTTAAACGCTAATTAAAACAACATCTACTAAATGAACTGAAAGACTAACAAAGTCATGCCTAGTTCAAAATCATGCCTAGTTGCTCCAAATGTGAAAGACAAACAAAGTCCTTTTTCTATTACAGTAATTGTAATTTTTTAACCAGGGCCCAATGGAAACTAATCCCTTTGTTTGGAATAATTGGGTCATCCTGGATCCTGTTTTGCTTTTGTATTTCTAAGTTTATGGATTAAAAATAAAAACAAACAAACAATAGGAAGATTTTAATATTTTTATTATTAGGTGGGTGGATTATGTGATGGTGTGAATGTATCAATATGATTCGTATCAATTTATTTTAGCATTAAAGGAATAATAATAACTAATAATATGATAACAAATTGCTAAACATGTCTTCACTTGACTTATGATATTGTTGTTTTTTCCTAATTTTTTGATAGTTAATTTGCATATTGTTTGGGCAAAATATTAGCATATAACTTGAATGGAGATCTTAGAATATTTGAATTATATTTAAGGTCTTAACTTAGTGTGAGTAAAATCATGACTTTATTCTATATTTAAATTGACATATTCTATTAGTTTTTAAAAGCCTTTACTTTGCAGTTGTACTTGGTGTAGATTTATCAGATGAAAAAAAATGATATTATAAATTCCAATTCTAAAAAAAAACATCCGAGAGGAATGCTCATCATAGATGATGTCGGATCATAATATGATCAATACTTTTTCATTTTGAAATTGTATAGGCACACACTGTGTTTTTAGCATAGCATTCAATGAATGGCTCTAAAAATTTATATTAATTTTTTTAATAATTTTACTAGAGCAACCTGTAAATGTAAGAGCGTACATAAACGTAAGTGTATACACATCACTTGCTTATGCCATATCTCTCTCATCACATTGGTTGTGGCATACAAAATAAAAACAAAATTTTTAAAATTGTGTTAAGATTTCCAACAGTAGAAAATACCTATTTATTCCCCATTATTGTATGTACTTAAATGTGTAAATTTCTTGTTAAGTTTTAGTTGTTAAAAAATATTTTGTACCCAGGGCCCCAAGGGAGACCAGTCTCTTTGACTGATTGGACCACCCTGGTAAAATATTGAGAATAAATAAATAAATAAATAAATTATTTTCTAAACCACTGTTACAGTCTAAAGAATATTAATTACCTGTATGACCTATTTAAATACTTATCTTTCTTCATTTACTATTTTTAAAACATTTTTATTCACTTCATTAGTTAATTTTTCACAAAATTCCCATCATTTTCTTTTACAAAAGATTTCTATTCATTTTCTCATATCTGGGTTTCATTAGTATATAGCAGTGGTGACCAACTGTCAATACAAACTGGTATAGACCCTAAAACACTCTTCCTTGCTTAACATCTTCTATGTAATTTATATTAAATAACGTTTAGAAATAGCCAAAAAATGTTTAATTATTTCTAAAATATGTAAATCTAATGTACAATGTCTGTATTTTTGTTTTTAAAAAAAAAATAAAGTAAAATAAATATAAATAACATTTAAAGAGACTTACTTTTTTCCTCCTTCCTTGGTATATACTCCTCCATAAATATTTCGACTACTAATGATTTCAATGATTTCCGGTGTGTAACTTGCAAAGATGGCCTACACATAGAAATCAAAAGAATGTTTTTATACCGAATATAATAATGGTTGACTTATGCAGTGCATATATGCAGGTAATTGCGGTGCCAAAGAATGGGAATCTTGTGGTACTTGTTATAGCATCCCAGGTTGCTATTGGCAACTTGTGTGTTAATTAATTATCAACTGTAATATTGACTATGAAAACATTAACAAAAACCTTAAACCACTGAATACTGGCCTTGTGCAAAGTAGTAGTATGGCATACTTATAATATCAATTATCAAATTTGATACCATTTTCAAACAAATTAATTAAGGGAACCATGCCAACATTGGCCACCAATATGCCGGTATGCTTCACATCACATCATTATTACCTGATTTGAAACGAAGCAGGTATACTGTACTCTACGTGTTTGTTAACTGATTGAGAACAGTACGTTTCTTTCTGCACCTATGTTTTTAAAAAAAACTTACTAGGCCGCCGAAGATGAAGAAAGTCATGAAGACTCTTCCACATGTTGTTTGTGCATAAATATCACCATAACCAACTGTAGACATGGTTACTACGACAACATACAGACAGGTAAAATAACCAAGATCTTGAGTGTTACTGAAGTCTTCCCATGGATCACCAGAGTTTTCCACCTAAAAGATTATAAACAGTACACATAGAATACTCATAGAGTTATGAACTAGCTACTCTTTGGTCAATTGAAAAGAATAAATTTTAATTTACCTGAAGTCGTAATGACCTCTATTTCAAAATGTTCATTAATAATTTTACTTACACAGGTTATGCTTAAACTATGGTAATGCTTGAGCAATATTTGACTGATACATTAATGGTTAGTTATGTTTCACATGATGTCAGAGGGATACTGGTAGGATCCAAATAATGCTCGATCCATAGTGGAACTTTACCCAGATTGACTCTTGACACATAATGTTGAAACCATTACCTGCAGTACTTTTGCTTCATCCTAATTTTGTTTAAACTTTTAACTCACCAAGTGTATGACTCCAGCTGCAGTAAGCATGACCGTTAAGAAGACGGTCAACATATTAGTCACTTTGATAGCATTGCTAGTTTTCAGAACTCTCAGAAACTGTAAAACTTCAGACAGTTGCATGAGTCGAAGGGCCCTCAAGAATCTGAGCCCTATAGTTAAATAGATATAAAAACAGGTGTTCATAAAAATATTAAATACAATTAGAATATAATAAAAGTACATCCAGCTGAAGTAGTTATGGTGCATAATCCTTTCCTACAAATCTTGTACCTTTCATGAACACTATGGTTCCAACCATCGTAGTGTTCATAAAATAATTGTTAATACATATATATGAAAAGTAATATTGCTTTCAACCCTTGTTTCGCAGCTCAATATACATTTACATCATACTATAATACATTAAAAAATTAATATTTCCATTATATTGGCATACCCTTAAAACTCATTTAAGTTTTATATAAGCCACAACCTAATATTAGAATAAATATTAGAATATATTATACATTATATAATACAAAACAAAAATTAGATGAAACATTATATAATATAAAAATATTCTATATAATAAGTTAGCTATATACATAATTTTAAAATTGAATTTTATAAAACATTATTGTTTTATTATTGTTAGCAGACAGAAATGTCAAAAGTTAAAAGATATGTACTAAATATCCTACCCATAACTATGAAAAATAACCCACTGTTACCTGCAAATTTACAGAATAAAAATAAACCTCAAATTACAATTAGCATAGCAAATAAAACCCCCACATTGATAACATTAGGCAATTTAGCATAATGCACAGAAGTAGTATAATCTGCAAATAGTCAACACCATTCAATTTATAGTTTCCTAGCAGAAGTGAAATACAGCAAAAAATATAGCACCAATCTTTATAAAAACACTGATATAAAACCTAAATATCCTTGTAAATAAGAAAAACCTGTCATTCATATTTAAGAATGCATAATTTTAAAGACATCTCTTTTAATATGTAGCCAACCTTTTGTAACATAAGTTCATTCATGTAGGATAAATTTAGTAATTTGTATTATTACAAAAAAAATGTATCATTTATGAACACAATTTATTGTAATCCATTAACTGGAAATCAGGAAGAATAATTATTTCAATTTTTAAATCAATGCATGAACCAACACCATAAGGCAAAAAAGAAGAGCACCACAACCATTCGGATCATATTTTTTCAGGTCAAAATATTCATTTTATCAAAAATTCTTAGGTATGCCATACCTTTGCATCTAATTACTTTTCACTCTACAATTATTTATTTATTTATCGACACCGAAAAATAAACTTTATTTTCATAAATATATAGAAAAAAAAATACAATGGAATATGGTTTATACACAATTGAAAAGGGCACCAGTTGGAAGCTTTAGCTTTGAAATGTGGTACCTACTAAGATTTATATTACTTAATATGAAAGTTAGTATTCATAAATTATATACACATTCATCATATAAAAGTGTTTCCTAATATTCCAACTTAGTATTAGAAGCCATGCAAATTGACTAAATTATTTGTTACATTACTATGCAAGACATTACATCAAAACATCATTTTTTTTATAATACAAAAAGAACATTTTCTATTTACAAGTTTATAAATAAAATATGAACTTACTGTATTTAAATAAAAAAGATAAAAAAAGAAGTTTTCAAATGGTGACTTTGGAGGGACAAACAAGCTGTTCTATAATGGCCAAAGGATCAAGGTAAAGAAATATTCAACAGTATCGGAAAGAACATAGTCAACTAACAACTGAGTTTTTATTCTTCGTATTGATTGATGTCTTTCTACACTACTGTATTCTAAAATACGGAGGTGAAAGAATACTTAAATGGGTTTTCATTCCTACTAAATGTTGGATATCTTCACTCTAACCCTACATTTGAAGGATGGGAGGTATGCAGTGAAATGATTTTACAAAATATGTGAATTATTTTTAGAATCTATGTCAGTGAGTGCAGCAGACTCTGGGATGTATTGATAAAAACAAATTGAAGAATCAACATCTTAAATGGTTTCTATACGGTTTTTAATATGAATACCTCACTTTTTCATTCAGCCCTAATTCCTTATAATTTAAACTACTTATAATAGAACCTGCAATTAAAGATATACCGTCTGTCACAAACATGCAAAAACCTTAAAACTTAAACATACACACTCAATAGCTACTGTAATGTTTTAAAAAAAATTAAAAATCAAATGATTGATACACACAACTTGGAACAAAATAATTTTGCTGATGTACCAAGTTTTTACTCATAATATCCTAAAATTTGCATCAAAAAAAAAATACAAGAATGGAATTATTTATTCATTTATAAAATGGTGAGGAAATTTATTTTCTCATTCAAATTTTCAATTGAAAGCTATAAACTTACTAACATATACAGGGTACAAAGTTAAATGTTAAATTTTATTTTCAGATTTTCAAACTTATCATAGGCAGAAAGGTATATCTTTAACAACATTTTTATTCACCAGCTCTTGAACAGTATTGATTTTTTTTCTACCTGTAGCACAGCATAAACATTGGCATACTGACAATGTTGTTGAGAACATCAAGGCAAAAACTGACAGCTCATGTAAACCTCAAAAATACCATGTTTCATAAAATTGACAGTACCTGGTATCCTTAAAATCGCTACACTGTCGCTACAGTGTTTTCCGTTGTACTGTGTAGCTGTCCCTGACTCAATCGGGGCCTGATTCGACCCACCAATCAGCATCACCGAAAGATGTCAGGGATAGTGTGTAGCAATTGTATGGAATCAAGATTTACTCTCAAATTGTTTGTATCATCAAAAAATAACTGATAATCTAAATTTAAATTAGATCCAGATGAATTTTTCAATGACACTAATTCTCCTACACAAGTTAACTATCTAATTTATAGTGAAGATCATTATCAAATATTAGCAGGTACTGTACTGTATATAGCAATGTATCATACTACAGTATATACATTGCTACTTATATATTTATTGCTTTTCGGTTTGCTTAGTGAAGTCAATCAGTAAATGGGATAGTGTGTAGCAATTGTATGGAATCAAGATTTACTCTCAAATTGTTTGTATCATCAAAAAATAACTGATAATCTAAATTTAAATTAGATCCAGATGAATTTTTCAATGACACTAATTCTCCTACACAAGTTAACTATCTAATTTATAGTGAAGATCATTATCAAATATTAGCAGGTACTGTATATAGCAATGTATCATACTACGGTATATACATTGCTACTTATATATTTATTGCTTTTCGGTTTGCTTAGTGAAGTCAATCAGTAAATGTTTGCTCTACACAAAATATGATGGATTTTCAAAGAAACATGCTGTTGAGAATATATATATATATATACATATATATATATATATATATATATACATACATACAATTTGTGAAGGTTTTCATTCATCCAGTAAGTGACCAACACAACGGGTCAGTTGTATGAAGGAGTTCAGCGGAGCTGGACGAAACATCACTCAACGTTAACAATATTAAGTTCCAATTTTTGATTTAAATACAAATAAATATTAATATATTATATAACGTACATATATAAAAGCCTATAAAATGTATGTTATATTTCTGTTATTAGTATTATTCTCTAGACAGAAGCAACTTAATAAATTTCTTTATATATTCTCAACATTACCCTTTCATAATGATTTATCTGGCATACAGCAAGCATTTACCAATTTTCATTTATATATTACTTGTTTGAATCAACAGGATTTTGGAATTTAATATGCAGTTGAGCAGACATATTTCTTTCTGTTGCAGTAATGTTTCAAACATACATTCAACATGGGTTGTCAGATTAATATTATCATTTGCATTCAAACTTCAGTTACTGCTGATTAGTAGTAAACAGATTTGGTTTTATAAAGTTGCATAATACAAGAAATGAAATCAAAGATTAGTATCATACATTATTTTGCAGCGACCTGACAGCATATTGCTGATTTAATCCCATCTCTCCAACAAACTGCATTAGATAATTATCTATTTAGTTCATTCATTTCATTCTATACAATATTTGAAATATATTGGATATTTTTGAGCAAAGAAACAGCTTCTTTAAATTTACTTTGTATTTCAATTTATTTGAGATTTGTTTTTTTTTTTTACATAACATTGTTAGAGTTAAACATTCATTACTTGTTGCAACATACAGATATATATGTCCACCTAATATCCAAAATGAATAAGGAGATAAACTTTGACACAAGGAAAAATAGCACAAGTTAGAAAAGTACAAGCTAAGAGAAATTAGATTGGTAAAAAAACTAAAGCTGGAAAAAATAGGAAAGGACAATTGTTTAAAATGGAATAAGCTACGGTGCCTCTGGAACTAACTTACCAATCCACGCCCTATATTGACCTGAGCCAAATCAATGGCAAAATAAAAAAACATAAGATTTTTTCTGTTGCAAAATCAGGTAAATGAGGACAATGTATATTTCAAGCAACAATCTAGGAACATCATTCCAAATGCACGATACAGTATCGTATTAACTTATATAATGCTTGGTAGTTCTTAGATTGCAAATCAATATGCCTTGTATGAATGATTCCTAAGGAACAGATGAAAGTCAATGCAAAATTTATTTAAAATAACATTAAAATTATTAAATCTCAATCTGAAAGAATGTAAGAGATCATCATCAAATTATAACATAACTTTATTATTCATTCCATTACTATTTGAAAGGAAACATTCTAGTCTGTAGCATATATAATATGGTAAGCAATCAAAAATGCTACAAATCATAATATAATTTTAAGATGAAAATACACTAGTAAAGGAGGTTAACTTAATTTATCTTAATGTTAATTAGTAAGGTATTTATAATAATACATATTTTTTACAATTTAACAAATTATGAAATTACAGATATTTGTGGCTATGACAATACAGGAATGTTAAGACAGCATTTTAACTATAGGTTGTTTTATTAAGTATTTTAGTTTTTAAAAACTCATCAAAAATCCAACAGAAATATTTAAAAACATTCTTGTTCCAAATTTTTATTGAAGGTAATAATATTCAAAGCAATGCAATTCAAGTGTTTGTTAGACTCAGAATGTATCTAACGGGCATACGCATGCTTTTTACCGTGGTTGCTTACCTATCCATGTACGTCCAAGATAGATCGACACAAATATTGGTGGAATGGTAAAGAAGTCCACAATGGATGCCATGGATACCCAGCATCCTAACTTTTCCTGGTTGGCTATGAACTATATTAGAAAAAAAAAACCAGAAATTTGAATTAAAAATATTGACAACAAAAATGGGATAATTTTAGATTAGTAATTGTTATTGTCGTGATGGAATAATAGACAATAACTGGATTTGCGTCAGGAGAAACATGTATAGGTGTAATTTTGCCCTACCTGACGTGGAAACGTACCGAATACTCAGTACATTTGAAAACAACTGCGAAAAAAATCGCAAGTTGTTCTCGGGTGGGACTCGAACCCACGATCTCCAG